TTTACGGAAGGTACAGAGGTCCGGGATCAATCGTATTCCAGGAGGCAGCTCATTCCACAGGGCGGGTGCCCCCACAGAGAAGGCTCGCCCCCTGGGGGCCGCCAGCCGACATTGCCTGACCGACGGCACCCCGAGGAGGCCCTATCTGTGAGAGCGTATTGGCCGGTGGGAGGTTATCAGTAGCAGCAGGCGGTCTCGCAAATACCCTGGCCCTAAGCCATGGAGCGCTTTAAAGATGAGGACCAACACCTTAAAGCGCACCCGGAAGACCATCGGGAGCCAATGCAGCTTGCGCAGGAGAGGTGTTACGTGGGAGCGCCACGTCGCTCCCATAATCACCCACGCGGCCGCATTCCACACCAGCTAGAGCCTCCGGGTGCTCCTCAGGGGGAGCCCCATGTAGAGAGCGTTGCAGTAGTCCAGGTGTGACGTAACCAAGGCATGAGTGACTGTGCACAAGGAGTCCCGATCCAGAAAGGGGCGCAACTGGCGTATCAGGCGAACCTGATAAAAAGCCCCCCTGGCCACGGCCGTCATATGCTCTTCTAAAGACAGCCGTGTGTCCAGGACGCCGCCCAAGTTGCGAGCCCCCTCTGTGGGGGTCAGTGACTCGCCCCCAATAGCCAGCAATGGCACCAGCTGGCTATACCGGGACGCCGGCATCCACAGCCACTCAGTCTTGGAAGGGTTGAGCCGAAGCCTGTTCCTTCCCATCCAGACCCGCACGGCCTCCAGACACTGGGACATCACTTCGAGGGCATCATTGGGGTGGTCTGGGGTGGAAATGTACAACTGAGTGTCATCAGCGTACAGATGGCATCGCACCCCAAAACCACGGATGATCTCACCCAGCGGCTTCACATAAATGTTGAACAGGAGTGGCGAGAGGACCGACCCTTGCGGCACCCCACAAGCAAGGCGCCTCGAGGTCGACCTCTGCCCCTCTGCCAACACAGACTGCGACTGTGCAGTTTACAAAGATAAAAATTCAATATAAAACAATAAAAAGCAATAATTCCCATCCCCCTGACAACAACAAATCAGTCAATAAGCCACTTGATGGTGGGAGTGGAATTGGAATAGTGCATCCATCCTCACCCTTCTTGACCTCTCAGTGGCCTTCGATACTACCAACCATGGTATCTTTCTGGAGCAGCTTTGGGGGGTTGGGGGCTCTGTGTTGTCCTGGTTCACTTCCTTCCTCTATAGTTGCAGTCAGTCGGTGCTGATAGGAAACAAGAGATGTGGCCCTCATCTCCTGTTTTGTAGGGTTCTACAGAGCTCAGTAGTTTCTCCACTTCTGTTTAACATCTACATGAAGCCATTGGGTGAGATCATCCACCACTATGGGCTAAGATATCATCAATATGCTGATGACACTCAGCTATGTGTCTTTGCTCACAGTGAGTTAAGCAATGCCATGATATTTCTTTCACAGTGCTAGGAGATAGCCTGCAAACACCTAGAAGCCAATTTGCTTCTAGGTCAAATTCAAGGTAAGGGCTGGATGGGGAGCAACAAGCTGAAACGGAACTCTGGCAAGATGCAATGACTGGGTTTTGGGTTCTTTGGTCCATAAAAAATTGCATTTTGATCTTGGATGTGGTAGCACTGCCACAGGTAAACCCAGTGCATAATCTGGGCATTCTCCTAGACTCATTAATCCTGCTCAAGAAGCAGGTAGCAGTCATGGCCAGGAAGGCATGTACACAACTGCAACTTATACACTAGTTACAAACTTTCCTAGATCAACATGCCCTAGTCACCTCTTGTCTTGACTATTGTAATGGGTATATGGGCTGCCCTTGAAAAGTATCTGGAAACTTCAATTGGTTCAAAATTCAACAATCCACATGGTTTTTCCATAGACTTACGTGTATATATGTGTGATCTCTCCTGCAGGAGCTGCATTGGCTGCCAATTTGCTTCTGAGTCCAATTCAAGGTATTGGTTGTCACCTTTAAAACTCTATATGATGGATTATTTGAAAGACCATCTTCTCCTGGTACCTGACCCACAGAGTGGGGAGGCAAGGAATGCTGTAGGTCCCCTCTCCTAAGGAGGTCTCTTTGCAATACCCTGAAGACCTGGTTTTGCTAACTTGGAGGCTATCTCCTAGCACTGTGAAAGAAATATCATGGCATTGCTTAACTCACTGTGAGCAAAGACACATAGCTGAGTGTCATCAGCATACTGATGATATCTTAGCCCATAGTGGTGGATGATCTCACCCAATGGCTTCATGTAGATGTTAAACAGAAGTGGAGAAACTACTGAGCTCTGTAGAACCCTACAAAACAGGAGATGAGGGCCACATCTCTTGTTTCCTATCAGCACCGACTGACTGCAACTATAGAGGAAGGAAGTGAACCAAGACAACACAGAGCCCCCAACCCCCCAAAGCTGCTCCAGAAAGATACCATGGTTGGTAGTATCGAAGGCCACTGAGAGGTCAAGAAGGGTGAGGATGGATGCACTATTCCAATTCCACTCCCACCATCAAGTGGCTTATTGACTGATTTGTTGTTGTCAGGGGGATGGGAATTATTGTTTTTTATTGTTTTATATTGAATTTTTATCTTTGTAAACTGCACAGTCACTGAGATTGAATTGGGCAACTGTCTAAATTTTCATAAACAAACAAACAAATTTAATTGTGTTCATTTTTGTACTTTTGAATCACTGTTGACGCCTGGAAAAAATAAAATAAAATAAAATAAAATAAAATAAAATAAAATAAAATAAAATAAAATAAAATAATAAAATAATAAAATAAAATAAATAAAATAATAAAATAAAATAAAATAAAATAATAAAATAAAATAAAATAAAATAAAATAAAAAAAATGTGTTTGTTTTTGTACCTTTGAATCATTGTTGACTCCTGGTGGCTGCCTCGACTAATTCCTGCAGGGGTTTTTGACAAGGTTATTTGGAAATTGTTTGCCATTTCTTCTTCCTAAGGCTAAGAAAGAGGGAGTGGCCCAAAGTCACCCAGCTAGTTTTTGTCTAACGAGGGAGTAGAACTCACAGTCTCCTGGTTTTCTAGCTTGTTGCCTTAACCACTACACCCAACTGACTTCATGTAGGGATTATGTAATTGGGAGAGGAAAAACAGTATCTTTTAAACATGTTAATCTTTTTTTTTAATTTATAAACTTTATTAAAACACATATAAACATGTAATCTTAATTGTTGCTGCAAGACTTACATCTTTTTCTGTGATTTTGCTGAATGATTCCTTTATTCTTGGACACCACCAGTTTTCAACTTTCTTCCTGGTCTCTGATGTATAATTTTGTTCCCACTTTCCTGTTTCACTAAAAATAGTTCTGCTGCATTTTAGGATTTGCCTATTCAGCCATTTAGTTGAGTCTAGTACTCCACTCAGTTGTCTTCTCCAATATGATGGAAACAAAAATAGTGAATTGCAAAGAAACCACATTCTGTGCAAAGTATATTGGCAATCCTATTGAAGACAGAAAATAATTTTTACCTTCAGTAATAATTAGCTCTCAGGAGAAGATTAATTCATTTAGTTTATGAAAATGACGTTACTTTTTGGAGAATTTTTAATAGCAGAACTTTTTTCAAAAATATCATAGGTTTGCATTCTATCTATACATCAGCTTTTATTAATACTTTGGTGGGCTATATGGAACTGTGTTATTATAGTAAGTAAATAAAATATATTTGAGCCAAAAGCCAACAAAATAAGCAAACTGATATTATAAATTACTCCGTGTTATTGCATATTTTCTAAACACTATTGCTGTGCAATATTTCCTATGGAAATGAGAATACATTTAAAATAAGCAAATTTTAATTGCAGGCATATCCATATTATAACTGTACTGTGATTGTGCTTTCATGAAATTTGTTCATCTATAATCCTCTAAATATAAATACTGGTAGTGTGCCACAGAATGCAAAGGAATGTTTGTTAGTTAAGATTTACATATTGAGGACACCTCTTGAAAGTGTATGAGTCTACCATTCAGAATGACAAATTGAAAAAGTATAAATGATATATTTCACGTTAATTGCTCTTGAAATATACCTTTCAGAGATAAGAGTTTGTGCTCTACCAAAAGATATTTTTGTAAATATAGACAGTTCACAACTGAACCTTCTAATGTGCCCTAAATTAACACATCCATTAGGAATCAAGGCTAATAAATTTAGTTTTAAAAAAAATCTGTTATTGAATTGCCTAGTTTTACAACCCTTTTTCATTATAGCAGAAAATAGAGACAAGATAAAAGCACTATCCAGCAGGAATATAGCAAGCGCACACATATATATGAAAGGAAAAAAATTACAGGTGTCATTTGCTTTTGCGAGACACATGTAAGCATTCAACCGATCACTGAAATTCTATTTTATTTCCACTTAGGTTCATGATCATTTTAGTTAATCTCAATTTATAATCTACTAAATGCCATATATTAAATGAAGTTGATTGTTATAATCCAGAATGATCCCACGGGCTATAAATTACTCTTTTTGTGTCAAATGTATCATATATTCTAATATATGTCCTTATAATTATATTAATACTTCCGGGCCTCTTCAACTAAAAAATTAGATTGTAGTACTCTCCTGTGCAGGAGTAGGAAACCTAAAATGTCTAGTGCCGCGTTTCTTGGACTTCAAGCCAAGGATTCCCAGCCAACTATTTTCCGCTGGCTCTGCAATTTCAGAACAAAACTGAATAAGAAGGAAACTGTCCGGATTAAAGGGATCGTCGTATGATTTTGCAAGCTAACCTAAAGAAAGTGGAGAGCGATTGATACTTATGCAGACTGAGTCTCTAACTCGAGGGCGGGAGAGGAGAGAATGTCGCAAGTAGAGGAAAAGAAGCAACGTTCTTAGAGCAGTACTTACAAAGGAATAGGAAGGAGCGTGGTTCATATCTCCAGGAACCCAGCAACCATGATGGGCGCTGCCATCTTAATTTGCGCTCCTCCTTCGGTGAGTAAAAGACCGGCTCGCGCAGGCGCACAACCACCCCAGTAGCTTGATAAGGAGAATTAGAAAACCTGCGCTCTTTGAAAAAGAGGTTGGGGCTTGATTCAATAGAGGGAAGTATCGGGAGTTCTAAGGGAGAAGTTGCGTTGAAATGTTTAGCTTGCTCTCCCTCCTCCTTTTCCTCTTTTTCTTATTCTAAGGAGAAATGAGATCCGTCCTAAAGGAAGATGCTTTCTAGATAGTTCAAACTGTTGTGTTTCTGTTCTCCGAAATTACTATTGTATGTTCTTTCTTGCCAGAATTTTAAGGTACTTTTTTGGGTGCAGAACTGCCTAATTTTTTTAATGGATTTGAGTACTTTTTTATAATTCTACAATTACAACCTTGATGATTTTTTCCTTTATTGGATTGGTTATAATATGATGATAAAGTATCTCAGTGGGATTACACAGTCTTATTATTTATTATCTGATTATATCTTTATTTTTCCTGTACAAGCTGAAGGGATAAAAATTAACAACATTCATTATCTTTCTTTCCATTTTATTATCCCTGAAACATGGCATTGCATTCTGGGATAAAATTTGAACCAGGAGCTGTTTATTAATTTTTCTTCCAAGGTTCGCAGGGGAGGGGGAACATAAACAAATCAGACTTGGAAATTTGTCTTCTCTGGAAAAACAAAAATTTATATTTTCTTAGCAATTGAATATGGCAAAACAAAATTGCCACTTAAAAAAAAAAACGTTATGCAAAGTAGGATGCCATATAAATTATAGGTTTCTATTCTCCCTTTCTCTCCCTTTTGGCATTGATTGTGTTACTTTTTTAGAATATATTTTTATTAAAAGTTTTTTTCTTAATACAGATTGTCCTCAACTTATGACATAACTGAGCCCAAATATTTTGTTGCTAAGTGAGACATTTCTTTTGTCCTATTTTATGATCTTTCTTGCCACAATTGTTAAGTGAATGTTTGCAGTTGTTAAGTTAGTAACATGGTTGTTAAGTGAATCTGGCCTCCCATTGACTTTGCTTGGCAAAAGGTGATCACATGACTTCAGGACACTGCAACTATCATAAATATGAGTCAGTTGCAAAGCTTCTGAATTTTGATCTTGTGACCATGGTCACAAAGGTCATAAATGTGAAAAATAGTTATAAGTCAGTTTTTTCTGTGCTGTGTAACTGAACAGTTACTAAATGAACTGTTATAAGGTAAGGACTTCCTGTATAAAATAAAATCTGCTCCAATAGAAGCGGTGCAAGAATAAAAGCAATGCTGATAAAATCCAATAATCAAAATAAACAAATTATAGAATTATATATTTTGAGTCAAAATGCAAGTTTTAAGTATTAGGACCAAAGATTTCCTAGTCTTTTTATGCACGTATCCACTTATTATTACATCAAGTTTTCTTAATTTCAATATAATAGTATAATCTAGTGTTTCTCAACCCCAGATAGTTTAAGGTGTATGAACTTCAGCTCCCAGAATTCCCCAGCAATGGAGACTTCTGGAAGTAGAAGTCCACACATCTTAGATTTGACAAAGTTGAAAAATCTTGATCTATGGTAAGATCTTTCAAGATGTGTGCCACAGAAAGTTTGCATTTCATAAGAATTTGATGCGCCTCTGTGAGAGATTAAATGGGAGAAAAAAGTCACTAGAATGTAGAATTTTCTACCTCCAGAGTTTAGATATTTCTAGATATTCCTTGGCATGAAATAGTTTGAAAATTACTGATTTAAAGCACAGTAAGATGGAGAGTGATTTTTGTGAGTTTTTCTAAATTTCCTTAAATAATTGGGAGCTAGAAATCATTGTAGATTACTACTACTACTATTACTACTACTACTACTGTGTCTATCTTCTCCCTGCCTTTTTCAACTTTCTGAAATGCTAAATCTTTCTGCTAAATCTTAATGTGAAAGGAAGAGGCAGGCCCTGAAGCAATCTTGTCAATGAGGTAAGGTAACAGCAAGAAAAGGTAAGGTAACATAGCAAGAAAAGGTAAAGTAAAAGAAATGTATCTTTGACATCCATTTGCTCATCCAGTAAATCAAGCATCCTAAAATTGGTGCTCTCCAGATATATTTATATATAAGTCATATTGGCTTCAAACTGATGGAATCTATAATCCAGTGTACTTGCTGGGAAAGTAGAAATTGCTAATAATTCAGTGGGCAAATTTTTTTGTACAGGGAGTAAAATGAAAGTTGGTTTTGCATACTCTTGACTGGCATTATCTTCTGTTTCTTGTTTAGTTTCTAAAATGCCCCGCCAAGGCCGTAAAATTACAAAATGCACTTCTGCCCTTCCGATATGCACCCCAGTCAAGGACTCTTCATGTCTTCCACTCAGTGCAACCTCCTCAGAGGATTACAGCACACTAAAGAGGGCCCAGTTGCAACTGCAATGTAAAAAGCTGGGTCTTCCTGCCATAGGAAAGATGAGAGAAGATTGTTCCAGATTTCTGTCCTATTTTTACACTACCGTTGATTATTAGATGGGAATTTACTTGCACAATTACAAACTCCTTTGTGATTATCTATTTCATTGAAAAAGAATGAAGGAAATCTATTTTCTTTCATATCTATTTATTCAAAAGCAATTATATTGGAGTTTGTAGTGATCCAGCCAGCACACAAGCAGATAATTCAGGAAGATTCATTATATAGATGAAACTTCTTTATATACAATAATATAAAACATGATGCATGTATACAATACCCATGCAGCTCTTGCAACATAGTGGAGAGAAGAAGAAGAAGCAAGTGCTCTCAAGCAATACAAATGAACTTTCACAGCACAGAATAGTTAAGATAAGCCACGCCCAGGCTCCAAGCCATCTCACATGGCTCAGACAACAAATCCTGTGTCTTAGTCACAAAACAGTTCCTATTGGCTGACTTGTTACCATGGCTATTCCAGTTCATAAATTCTTATACATTGACACTCCTCCCTTTACGACTGGAATAGACATAAAACCAAATAACTTAATATTCTTCCCATCGTGCACTGCACCCAATGGCTTGGTCATTATATCTGCCAGATTGTCTTCTAAAAAACAGTGAAGCAAGCAATTTACATTTGATGGCTTCTCTTACATTACAATATTTAATATTTACATGCGTGCTCCTATTCTTTACTCTGTCACCTGTTGCCATTTGTATGCAAGCAGCATTATCCTCAAACACCATTACAGCTTCATTTACTTTTACGTTTAAATCCTTTAACAGCTGTACGTACCAAGTTACCTCTGAACAAAGTTCAGATGGAGCAATATATTCTGCCTCCGCAGTAGAAATGGCTACAATTGTTTGCTTTCTGGACTTCCAACTAATTAAAGCCCCTCCAAACAATACCACAATCCCAGAATTGGATTTTCTGGTTTTTATATCATTGACATAATCACTGTCAACATAACATTTCAATTTCAATTCTTCAGAGACAGAGAACAGAGGTTCAGAATTCATGTCAACAAGTTTTCAACAATGGTTGGGACAGTTAGGAATAAAACACAGACGGCCAAATCCGTACACAGCAGCTGAGAATGGTATAGTTGAGAGGCGGAATGGTGTGTTACAAACAATGAAGGACTCACTGCTGGAGGATTCTGGTCTGAGCAGGTCATATTGGGGTGAAGCCATGTTGACTGCTAATTATTTAATCAATCAATTAATGATACTCCATATGCAGTGTTATATGGGAGAAAGCCATCTCTGGCACATTTGGAAGCAATGTATGGGTGCATATTCCAAAAGCAATCAGAGAAAAGATCAAGCAAAGGCTAGAAAGCTCAGGTTTACAGGCTATGAGCCTGGCTCAAAGAGCTATCGCTTTAGTGATGGAAGCAAAAGAATAGTAATTTCCAGGTCTGTTAGCTTTGCAGAGCAAAATTGGAACAGAATTGATGCCAATTTTTGGAATGATCCACTTAGTGACAGTAACTTACTTAGTGACGGTGTCAGCATTCAGGGAGGAGAAGCTGAAAAAGAACAAGAAAAGGAGTCAGGAGAAGATGATGACTCAGATATGAAGCAAGAGAGGGTTGAAAGACAAGAGCAGTCAATACCTCGCAGGTCAGAGCGATGGAACAAGGGGATTCCACCTATATAAGTATTCTGCTAGTGAAGTAAAGGTGTGCAATGTGTGGTATGAGCCAAGAAATTATCAAGAAGTATTGGCATTACCTAAAATAGAACAAGTGAAGTGGAAAGAAGCTATGGACAAAGAAATGAAATCCATGGGTGAACATAAAGTGTTCACATCTATGTGAACATAAAAGTGTTCACATCTATGACTTTGCCACAATGTTGCAAAGCCACAGGATATAAATTGGTGTACAAAAAGAAAATACTACTCAACAATGAGGTCCAATATAAGGCAAGATTAGTGGCACAAGATTTTTCACAAAAGAAAAACATGGACTATGATGAGGTATTTGCACCTACAGTGAAGAGTGAAAGCATAAGGTTGGTAGCGGCACGCGGCCATAAAATTTGGCATTCTGATATAACCACAACATTCCTCAATGCAGAATTAGAGGAAGAAATTTACATGGTTCAAACACCAGAGTATAAAAATAAAAAGCCTAACGCTGTGTATAAATTGAACAAGGCCATTTATGGGCTGAAGCAGTCTGCCAGGAATTGGAATATCTGTTTAGATACAGCATTGAAGGGTCTTGGGTTCAAGAATTGCAAGGCTGATGGTTGCATATATACTGGAAAGTTACAAGGGGGAAATTGTCAATTATTAGCATTTGTGGATGATCTTTGTTTCATTGCAAAAGATGTGTCACAAGTAAAAGAATTTGCTAATAAATTAGAGAAAAAGTTTGAATTGAAAAATTTGGGTGAAATATAAACTATCTTGGTGTAGAGATACAAAAAACTGAGAAAGGTGATTATGTTCTCAGTCAAAGAAGAAAAATTGAACAGCTGTTGGAGAGATATAACATGAAGGATTGTAATTCTGCTCCAACACTTATGAGCACAGATTTTCACAACAATCTGGGTGAGGACAAAAGTGAAGCCTATGATCAAGAGATATATCAGTCAGCAATAGGGAGCTTGCTATATCTGTTACAGTGGTCCAGACCAGACATAGCTTGTGCAGTAAGCATCTTAAGTCGCTTTACTGCTGCCCCAAGGCAATTGTATTGGATTGGTGTAAAAAAGATTCTCGGGTATTTGAAGGGAATTCTGAATTTAGGTCTTCAAATACAGGTCTCTGAAGAATTAAAATTGAAATGTTACGTTGACAGTGATTATGTCAATGATATAAAAACCAGAAAGTCCAATTCTGGGATTGTGGTATTGTTTGGAGGGGCTTTAATTGGTTGGAAGTCCAGAAAACAAACAATTGTAGCCATTTCTACTGCAGAGGCAGAATATATTGCTCCATCTGAACTTTGTTCAGAGGTAACTTGGTACATACAGCTGTTAAAGGATTTAAACGTAAAAGTAAATGAAGTTGTAATGGTGTTTGAGGATAATGCTGCTTGCATACAAATGGCAACAGGTGACAGAGTAAAGAATAGGAGCACGCATGTAAATATTAAATATTGTAATGTAAGAGAAGCCATCAAATGTAAATTGCTTGCTTCACTGTTTTTTAGAAGACAATCTGGCAGATATAATGACCAAGCCATTGGGTGCAGTGCACGATGGGAAGAATATTAAATTATTCGGTTTTATGTCTATTCCAGTCATAAAGGGAGGAGTGTCAGTGTAATTATGAGCTGGGATAGCCATAACAAGAAGTCAGCCAATGGGAACTGTTCGGTGACTGAGAGCCATGTCAGACAGCTCGGAGCCTGGGCGTGGCTTAGGTTCAGTAGTCTGTATATATATATATAAGGATTATTATTGCTTCTATTGATTCTGTGCTTTTGATTTCTGGTTCTGGCTTCTGCTGCAAGGGTATTGTATAAATGCATTATGTTTTATATTACTGTATATAAAGAAGTTTCTTTTATAAATGAATCCTCCTGAATTCTTTACTTGTGTGCTGTTTGGATTACTGCAAACTCTAACATGCATGTATACAATACCCCTGCAGTTCTTGCAACGTAGTAGGGAGAAGAAGAAGAAGCAAGTGCTCTCAAGCAAAGACAAATGAACTGTCACAGCACAGAACAGTTAAGCTAAGCCACGCCCAGGCTCCAAGCCGTCTCACATGGCTCAGACAAGAAATCCTGTGTCTCAGTCACAAAACAGCTCCTATTGGCTGACTTGTTGCCATAGCGATTCCAATTCATAAATTCTTATACACTGATAAATTACAACCATCATTTTATTTTGCATTATGTTTTTTATATCCGTTTTCTCCAACTAAATGTCATTTAGATATGTTGGATAATGATTATTGCTTTATTGATTGCACTTGTATACCTCCTTGTGCTCAATGTATAAATCTAGCCATTGTGGTTTATAAAGCATTGTGGCTTTATTTGAACCATTGCAAATTTATTTGACATTGCAAATTGCCAATAGGTTCTTTCCTCTCCTTCTGACCCTCCCAGCAAAGGTGTCTGGCATCACTCTTAGGATCATTGAAGCTACTGAACTACCAGATAAATGTAATCAACCCCTGAGAGGACTTAACTCCTGAGATTAATTCTTACATCCTCCTATTGCTGCAATTGTAAATTTTTCTTCTCAGAATGTTGAAAGGCTAGAAGCTTATCATGAAGAATCTTCATTGAAAATTGCTTGCAATAAAGAAGAAACAAACAAGCCAGAAGAGAAATCTAACAATCTTGGGGTTAGTAGTTCGAAATATAGGTTGATGGAATTTCAGGAGGGGAATTTTATTTATTTATTTCTTAAATTTATTTGCCGCTTGTCTTGCTGTGGGGCACTCTAGGCGGCTTACAATAATAAAAAGGAAGAAAAATAAAAGTGTAAACAGAAGTAAAATAATAGAAAAATAAAATAAGCAATTACAAAAGAACACAGTGAGAATAATACATCAATATGATAACCAAAAAGATGGATGGCTAGAGAGCAGAGAGCAAGTGGGAGGGGAGATGAAGTCTGCTATCAGTTTAGCAACCACCTCAAGTGTGGAACTCCTCTATCTGGTCCTCAAGATAACCAGCAAAGCCATGTCTTCAGGCTCTTGTGGAAGAATAGGAGGATATGAGCAGACCTTACCTTAGGGGCAGGCACTCCAGCACCTAAGGCTCTTCTTTTGGGTCCCGATAGTTGGAGTTCTTTGACTGACAGGATCTGAAGTAGGCCCTTTCTGCCAGCACTAGTAGGACAGAATATTATTAGAAAGAGAATATAATTAGAAAGGAAGTTGGTAGAAACAAAAACTTTGCTTAGAAAGACAATATCTGGCAACTAGATGAGGAAAAATCAGTATTTTAATAATACTCAGACTTATAGCTATAAATTTGTGAAAACAGTGCCACTTAAAATTGGTGACATTTTCTTACATGGATTGGTAATCTGCCTTAGCATAAGGCACTTTATGTACTATTTTTGAGATATTCAAAATAAGGCTTTCCATGAATACATATTTGCCATGATTGTTTCTGACTATAAAAGTTTAATTTAGTTATTTTATCTCTGAATAGTAGAAGATGGTTATGAGCAATAAAAGAGCCTTTTGCCTTGGTGTTCTGTCTGTGATCATTTCAAATGCAGCTACCCATCCTTGGCAGAACAGTTGATTTAGAAAGGCTATTCTATAATATTGCTAATTCTGATACCTACTTGATTTTCCAGACTCTTGTGCAGACCTCTCCTCCAAATATGGCCAAGGATATAAAAACAGAGACTTTTGAAGACAAAACAGGTGATCAGATCTTGGGGGAGGAGTCAGGGCAGAAATGAAAGCTTAGAAATAAAAATTTGACTGAAATAATTTGAGACTGTGTTCAAAATGATTAGACTCTACAGAACAGAATTAAGGAATACTGATAATACTAGATTTTGAGCCAGCCTTCTTTATCTTTTAGATATGGTCCGCGGTTGGTATGTGGTCCATGGAATGGTGCTTTACTGTCCAGCATCCAGCTGGGTTCCTCTGTTGCATCACAGAGGCTTAGTTTATGTCCAGGATGGAGAAAATCCGGTCCCTTTTCACCTCTCCCCATTGAATATTTCTGTACCTGAGGGACTGTTGGACAACTATGTATGCATGGACTGCGTGCTTAGGTACAACTACCTATCTTCCTTGTAAATCCTCTGTCTCGAGAATAGAAAGCAAGCTGCTGATGTTCTATTCTCAGCATCCTTTCTTATTATCTCTGGATGCAACTGCAGCTGTTGAGATTCTAGTTTAGTTATTGCTGTTTAATGCCTTACTGATTTATTGTTATAGGAACCAAGAGAAACCAAAGAAATGTCCTATGTGCCAGCAAATCCAAAGAAAAAGTAATAGAGTTTATACACCCCAGTGTATATTAAAGAACCTTTCCCTTTTGATGAAAACCTCCTCTTCTTCATTCCTTGCAACTGATTGCTCTAAAGGCAAAAAAAGGTAAATTGCATGGAACTACCAATTTCCGGAGTATTTGTATGTTACATATTATAATATTAAACATAGTAAAGCTTAACTTAATGGACCATTTGTGGGAAGTAGTGTTCATATAAGCAAAATTGTCATTAACTGATTTTTTGTTGTTGCATGAATTATGTCATTTGCACAATTATATAATAAGTTATGTCTATTTATTTATTCAAATGTATAAATTACATCATTTACATTTCTAGGCTTAGGAAACAAAGGAGTTTGCAGATAAATCCAAATTAAAATGTAGTTTATTACAGTATTGGATCTTTCAGTTGTTTGTGAATCACTAGAGTAATTTTTTTTTTAATTCAGTGAGAAATTGAAATGCGTACAAGAGATTGTTTGATTTTTGTTTTATTTAATCATTAAAATATTACTTTTTATCAAAACAAGAATATCATGCTGATAACAGTATCCTAAGTATTCTTTGCCTCTTTTTTACTCAATGGAAGAAATATATGGATAAAAGCAGTCTTGCGGTCTCCAGGATTGGAGCTCACATAAGTATCTTAACTTTGTAAAAGAAAAATTGGAAATATCCTCAGTGCTAAAGAGAGAAAACCACTCAGGTTGTTAGATTAATGTTGGGAAATTACTGGTCTTTTTGATATTGCTGATTGTCAGCCTCCGCCTTTACTGCTTTGGCTGCCATGGTAACGGGGGAGGGGGAGCTAGCATGGGGGGGAAGTGTGCTGGAGATAAATGAAAGTGAGACTTAAGCTACTGTGCTGCATCTTTGAAGCTTGTGATACACAGGAAATACCTGTTACCTTGAAAATAACAACAGAGAGTTGAAAGACAAGACAAGATTAATTTTATTCTTTGCAAAGGTCCTTCTCAGAGAGAGAGAAGGCAGATTATAGGTTCTTTCTTACCATCTTATATACAATTTTCAGGTTACATCGTACAGGATACAAGCATGTCCTTTGAGTACAATTTCAGATCTTATATAATAAGTTGAACACATGTTTTGCCCCTGTGGAAGGTCCCCACATTTCCAGTATAAAAATACCCCACTTAAAAATATTGCTTATACGTGTAATATCAGCATATGTGTATTTCCCCTAATTAATGAGGGCAAGCTGACCCAAAAGCATATTTCCTGCAAGATAAACATATTCTCAAGAACAGAGGAATTACACAGTTCCTTTCTCATGTTCTTAAATGTCAGCTAAATTATATAATCAGGTTATACAAAGTAGAATAAAGCCTTAACATGATTTTAAAATGGCGTAGCTTAGGCTATACTTTTTACAGGAATAATCCTTATTTCTCACAAAGCTGCTATCAGGTCAATGGTCGTGGCATTCCTGATTGATGACACTGCCAGACGTGTGCTCCCACCTGACCTCTGGTAGACCTTTGGATTGGATGATTTATGATGGACAGTGGGAGGGAATGCTTTCTAGCTGTAATTTTCGCGCTTTTGCCTCAGATTCAGCTTTTCCTTGGTTGCGATCACTTCATTTTCCAGTAAAAGTACCTTTCTCTATAAAACAATGGAGTTGAGGTCATTCTTTCTTGGACTTTGAAGGAAGCATATCTGACATTAAGCAGAATCTCATTTCTCCAGCCATCCCGGATAACTACCGTGGGGGCTGAACCCAAAGAATGTCTGATCAAGAGAGTGATGGAGATCAGATGGGTGCTTCTGGCTCTACGATAACTTCACTTCAAGCGGAAAAAGAAGCTGCAGAGTGGATGGAAAAAATTCAGTTGAGAGAGGAGCCAGAGGAAGCCAGATGGTCGAGGGGAGTAGGAAGGTTGCCGGACCTGGAGAGGACCCCTGCAGGGAGTAACCAGCTCCAGACCATGTAAGGGAGAGGCTGCGTGGATGCAAGAGCAAAAGGAGAGCCTCATGATTGCTCAAGCTATGCAACTCCTCCGCAATGCCGAAGAAAGCCGAAAAAGCCGTGAACCGTATGTATCCCCTGTGGGGGAGGGAGGAGATCCCAGGGTGTATCCAAAGGAGGCTGCTTGTGGGGGAGAGGAAGAAGAAGCTGGGGAAGGAACCTCTCAAGCCTCTGGTACCCAAGCGAGGGATGCAGCAGTCCAGGGGCCCCCAGCATTGCAGGCTCCACCCCGGAGATGCAAAAAACCAAAAATTCCCCCCCAACCGTCAAGTATGGAGGAAATCCGAAAACCCTGGGGTTTTTCCTCATCCATGTATGGAACCACATGCAGGACTGGGGGGGAGGACTACTTGTCAGATGTGGCGCGAGTGAGATGCATCACAAATGCCCTAGAGGGAGTGGCAGCTGGATGGATGGTGGTCCTCCACAATAACAACTCCCCCTTGCTTAGAAATTACAACCTATTCATGGGGGCTCTTAGAAGACGGTTTGAGGACCACCTAGCCGAACGGAAGGTGAGACTCCGAATGAAGGGTATTCAGCAGGGCCAGAGATCGGTGGCAGGTAACAACCAGGAGTTTCGTGAGCTGGCACCTTTCATGAAGGGGTGGTCAAAGGTGGCCCTACTGAAGAATTATAAAGATGGGTTAAACGAAGACATCTATAAAGACTGTAGAGCACGGAGGGTCCCCGAAGATCTGCAGAGCTGGTACATAGTAGCTGAAGACGTGGAGATCGATCTGGCCCAAAGCCGACTCTGTGGGGCCTGTGCAGGGAATCCATCATCCTCCCACTACCGCAAAGGGGTGCCAAAGACAGCCGGGGGGAAGGCAGAGTTCAAACCCAAGCTGAAGTCCTTCACGTGCTTCAAATGTGGAAAGGAAGGGCACCGGGCCGCGGAGTGTTTCTCCAAGCCAGTGCCGAAAGCCACTGGCTCGGGAGCCAAGAGGACCGACAAAGTGCCTGCAAAACCCCGCGAGGCCGCCCTGAAAGGAGAAGTCATTGAATTCACTCCCCGAAACCAGGGTGAGTTGGGAACTCCGACCATCGCAGATGACAGCGACGGACACCGACTCTGATGACCACGACCTAGTGAGTCACAAAGGGAGCCTCATGCTCATTCCCCATAGAAATAAGGGTGCCAGCCACTGGGGCAAACGGGCAGATGCCAGCCCTCCTAGACTCTGGGTGCACTAGATGCATAATCAGCCCAAAAGTGGTGGAGAAAATGGGCCTGCGGCTAAAAACGTTAAAGAGGCCCATGGCCTTCTGTCAGTTAGGTGGATCGATGGCAGGAGGGGCCCAGCCAGTTTTGTGACCGAACCCATTGAGATGCAATTAGGGGATCATTTAGAGACTCTCAGTTTTATTGTGGCCCCTGGCATGGAGCGACCCCTCATATGAGGGAGCAGAAATGGCAGTAGACCACATTGAGAGGGAGGAGAAGATTTCTAAGGAATATTGGGACCTTTGGGAGGTCTTCAGCGAAAAGGCCTTGGATGTGCTACCTCCCCACAGACCAACGGACTGTACCATTGAAATACTCCCTGGAGTAAAACTCCCTAAACCAAAAATCTACCCCATGACCCAGGAGCTGGGGGAACTACGGAACTTTATTGACAAGAACCTAGAACGGGGATTTATTCAACCAGCCAGGCCAAGAGTGGCAGCACCAGTATTGTTCCGGGAAAAGAAAGACGGTTTCTTTCGTTTGGTAGTTTATTATAGGAATTTAAATGCCATTTGCATAGAAAATGTCTATCCCCTGCCACTCATGAAAGACATGCTAGCCCATCTAGGAAAGGGGAAACTTTTCACCAACCTTGATTTACGAGAGCCATACTACAGAGTATGAATCAAGGAAGGAGATGAATGGAAAATGGCATTTAACTGTCCACTGGGATGTTTCCAGTTTCGGGTGCTCCCTTTTGGATTACAAAGAGCTCCTGCTGTGTTCATGCAATTAATCAACGGAGTGCTGCATGAACACCTGTATAAGGGGGTGCTGGTCTATTTGGATGACATTCTTATCTACTCCAAGAACATGGACGACCATGCAGGGCTGTGGAGTCGGGAGATAAATGTTCCGACTCCGACTCCTCAGTTTTTTGTGCTTCCGACTCCAGGTACCCAAAATTTCCTCCGACTCCTCGACTCCGACTCCATAGCCAGGGCTGTGGAGTCGGGAGATAAATGTTCCGACTCCGACTCCTCAGTTTTTTGTACTTCCGACTCCGACTCCAGGTATCCAAAATTTCCTCCGACTCCGACTCCTCAACTCCGACTCTGACTCCACAGCACTGTGACCATGTGAAATTGGTGCGGACTGTCCTGAAAAAGCTCAGGGCTGCTGAACTGTATACCAAGCTCTCCAAGTACAAATTCCACCAAAGCAAAATTGACTATCTTGGATACTGCATATCCCATGAGGGGATTGAGATGGATCCTGGAAAAGTCTGGGCAGTGTTAGAGTGGGCCGCACCACATACCCGGAAACAACTACAGAGCTTCCTGAGATTTGCTAACTTTTACAGACAGTTCATCCCCTCGTTTGCCAAAATCGCACTGCCGATAACAAATCTTCTGAAAACCAAAGGTGAATTAAAACCGAAGCCCTCCCAGCCCCTTGAATGGACTATGGACTGTCAGGCAGCATTCGAGAAGCTGAAACGGTTGTTTGCTGCTGAACCAGTCCTGAAACATCCTGATATGGAAGAGCCTTTTGTTGTACAGGCTGACGCTAGTGATGTAGCAGTAGGAGCTGTACTTCTGCAAATGAATGCAGGAAGGAAATTACAACCTTGTGCCTATACCTCCCGTAAATTGAATGAGACTGAGAGGAGATGGGCTATATGGGAGAAAGAGGCCTTTGCAGTACTCTGGGCACTATTAACATGGAGACAATTTCTTGAAGGAGCTAAGCACCCTTTTGAAATGTGGACTGACCATAAAAACTGGAGGCGTTGAAAACACCACGTAAGCTGTCACCCAAGCAAGTTCGCTGGGGCTCAACACTTCAAACGCTTTAACTTCACCCTACACTGCCTTCCTGATGGGAAGAACTTCATGGCAGATGCATTTTATAGACTGCCTCAGTATAACAGTGCCAGAGAGGAAGAGGTTCAGTCAATCATCCCTGCAACCCAGCTGGCGGCACCAGTAACTACAAGAGCGCAGGCGAGAGGCGATCCAGCCCTACAGAGCGATTTGCTTCAGAAGCTACAAGACACTCTAAAAACTGACAAGTGGTTTAAATCCCACTCGAATGAATGTACACTTCGTGATGGACTAGCCTCGGTGGGAGCAAAGTTGTATGTTCCCACTAGTCTGAGAGCAACTTTACAGTTTTACAGCATGCTCATGACTCTAAGGTGGTGGGACATTTTGGGTTTGTCAAAACCCT